TTTTTCCTTATCTTCAAACACATGGTCTGATTGAAGCTCACGTCGGAGAGTGGACAGACATTGACAATTCTCGCCGGGACATAATCTTACAATCCATAAGGGCTACTTCTAGGGTGTGGCCCGATAAGGAAGGTCGAAATGATTGTGCTAGCCCTGTGTGGATCTGGTACCATTCAATCATCCCTCCTATTGATATCCTCATATTGGGTACATATGTTACCATTAATGGTGACAGAGTTATTACTGTTGTACGAAAGATTCTTTATTACAGGCCGAAGCTTGAGGTATTTATTATGTACGTACGCTTCTTTTGCATCTCGGACCACAAATCGTCATCTTCCACAACTATATACTTCTGTACCTTTTATGTAAGTGCAGTTGATATAATGTTATCATTTGAGGTACGCAAGAAGAATCTAGATCATGTGAGGCGGGGAAGTCGAGCTGATAATAGGCAATACTCTTCATCTCGAATGAGGGTCTTGGCCGAAGTAAAAACAAGCTTACGCCGAGTGTATCCGCTTTTTTCCTCGGTTGACATCCCGTTCTCTACAAACTAGTCCATTCATGTGGTCTAATCCAAAAAGCTATTATTATATATCGTTCTTGGAAGTCTAAACCAAAACTGACTAGCTTCATTTTTCTCGAGTCGCATGTTTTTTGGATGGTAAGCCACTATCGGGCGCTGGACCTGTCTCAGATTTAGGCGCGAGATGTTCCTTAACGTGTTTTCGCCGCACGTACGCAGGCCTTACGAGCGATAAGATGATAAGGGACGAACTCGATGATAAGGGACGAATTTTATCCCCATTCTGATTTGAGTGTTGGAGCATATAAAGCTACCTTAAATAAGACGGTCTGCGAGGTGATGAACTGGACTATCGATTAAGAAACTCGGCGTGTTGTTTTATCTCAACCAATCTTGGCTTGTCCGTTTCTGTTGGTACGGCCTTCCTCATCTGAATTCGGATAGCTTTCGGGCTATGCCAGTAATAGTACATATAAATTGATTCTGCCTTGGCAAATCGATTATGAAGTTCTACACGGTCGTGGGTTCTTGCTGGGAAATTAATGGACAAGGTGCTAATCTTTGAGTGCTGTTGGTGTCTTGTCTCGAGAGTTTCTAGTCAAGAAGTGATTCAAAGTCGCAAGGCTAGACATTTATCATGTATTCGAATCGTACTTGCAAGGTACTATGAGGCAGGTGGGCAGATAGGTAGGCGGACCGCGGGGTTGAATCCTTTCATTTGTGATAATGTAAGAATGAGGTGAGCATCGAAGGGCGACATTTCAATCATGTCTTGTATATATTTATTTCTGTGCCGCGGCGAAGCGCTGATTGTCTGATGAAAGTAAAGTCATGGCGGTGAGATGTATCCTCTTGTTGCCCCTCTTCTCTTTTTGTACTGGTTAGTTTTGTTTCGTTTCCGTTGTAGCGAAATTCGATCTCGCCTTTGATTAGGGCGTATCGCATTGACCGGTGAGAATCAGCTTTAAGGACTTTGGAATCAACATATCTGTTAGTGACGAGTGTTTTGTTAAGAGGCAAGAAGATGCTAGCAAGTGGCAACTTTCCTCTTATATCTTTGGCATCCTCAGACCTTCACACGTTCGCCTTGTGCGCCAAGATTCGAGCGTACCTGCGTGCATAGCACCACTTCGATCTCGACACCCATCGTTGTTTACTAGGTGGCTTACTGACTAGTATGATACCTACCATATTATTATACACTGGATGGACCAAGTACTTATTGAAGCTCTTGGTCTTCTCAGGCATTCATCGATACTCGATAGCCAAGGAGCAGCCCAGGAGATACTCCAGATTCAACTGTTCAGATAAATGAGCTATCTGGAATTCAATTATTAAATTACACGATTCTTAATTTTTGTCTTGGCACTATACCAATCCTGGGGTCTTTTTGATATCGTCAGCTAGCCTCCATGCCACTGCTCAATTTGATATTAGATCTTCGTGACGCTGGTTGATATAATTGATCGTCTGATTAAACTATCTCGGGGGGTAAGCATATCTACATAAGTATTGAGTCCACTCACCGAGTTTTACTTTAGGAAAACTGACGATAACCATAAAATTTGCAATCTCATTCTTGGGATACAAGCAAATTTTCAAATTGGCATCATTCAAATCATGATATGAGTGACGAGACGACCTGATCTTCAAGATATCATCTTGAGAAATTCAAGGCTAGAAGAAAGATATTTGAGACAATTCTTTCAATATCTTGATTCAAGCTTCTTTTTTGAGGTCGCAACCTACCGCCCACTTACTCACTATCATGCAAAGTCTGGAGGATGCCTCGCAGCTTCGGTAACTGGGGGATAGAGTTGAACTGCTCTCAAACCGAGTTATGGATAAGTGATTTTATACTCTAGTATAGGAAGGGTCCATTAATATTTGAGTGAGCCATTATGTTTGGTTATTATCAACCTAGCCCCAAGAGAATCAGCTACATATTATATGTCAAAATAGAACTTGGGGAGATTGTAGATGTGCACTGCTAATCTATCTGATTTTCTATCATTACATAAATTGATAATGTAATATTTGACGACATTCTAGAAAGACACGAGAGAATCTAATGTCCTGAACCTTCAAGCATAGCATTTTCACACTGATGCCCAATACTTATTAAAGCAGATGCTTCATTCTAGGCTGCCTTTACTGATAGTGCCTCTCAAGCGCTTGCGGTATTTGGCGGAGTAAATGATATCGGCGAGTTCGATCTTGCTGGGCTTGAGAAACCGAAACGGATTCAAACTGGAGGAACTGTATGCGCCACTGTAAGAAAGTATGGAGCAATCGTGCTATTGTGCAGGACAGAATGGGCGGGTTGGGGAAATGATTTTGCTGGAATCGTGATGAGAAGATGGAGCTGGAGTATGGGATATGGGATATTGCGAGAAAAAAACAATTAATGACTGTTGGAAGATGAGAGAGGGGTAATCCTGGAGATGAGAGTGATTATAAAAGTCAGTTAATTTGAAGAATAGGGAATAGCTTCCGCGGAATATTGCTGTGATGAACTTTCATCGCCAGGTAGAAGAGTAAGTTTTATATAATCATTCCGAATGGTTGAGAGACAGCTGATGAAATGAGATAGTGTGGAACAGAACTCTTGACACAATGGGCAATTCTAGAGGGGAAATGATTGCTTGAGAGCCCCTTGATGTATGTATGAGTGCTGTATGAAGTATAGCGACACCCTTACTTCTCGGCAGCTCTTGCTCTTATGCTGCAGTATTGTATGTAAACCAAAATCGAGGAATCATCCCGGTGATCCAACATCTTTGTAATGGAAGCTAGGAGCTGGTCCGAACACTAAAGGAATGGTAGTTTGGCTGCTGGAAGATTGCTGTGATAAGATGGGAACAAAAATCCAACAATGAGAAACATTTGCTCAAGGCGATACCCCCACCCGTGTTAAAGAGAGGATCACCGGGGAATATTTCGAGACAACGAGACGCCATTACAAGTACCTGGTAGATACTAGATTCTATGGACAAAGCTTACGTGGAGTCTACGAGACCTTGTTCTAGAATCTGCACTACGGTGCTAAGTTGAGGTTTGGGTGGTGAGGTTAACGTATGTCTAATGACTATATGTACCATGATGCTAACGATTTTCAGGGTAGTTTGGTGACTATTTTCTCCATGGTCATTAAGATACTACGTCTTCTTTTCATGTATTCGGTATTGAGATTTGCGGTATGTTGAAGTAAGAAAGGACCATTTACTTTTGTGTAAAGAAGAAGAGTCTACATGCTAAAGCGAGGTATGTAGGTATGCTCAGATGCATATTTGACGTGAATGGATATTTGGTAGAGTATTATTTGGTCCTCGATTGAAAAAAGCGTTTAGTGATATAGACATTGGAACTTTCTGGTCTCATGTTGAATGGAGTAGCCTTTTTATCTTTATACATCGACACTTCTATGGCTATATTCGACCTCTCCGATAGAGCCTCGATCGTTCAACCGGTTTGTGTGTTACATCGTATTGAAATAACAAACCTTCAGGATTTGAGGTATCTGAGCATGCCATAGTATTCGTTTGATTTCCAAATATTCGATTTTCGTGCTGTAAACAAGAGAGGTACTATACCACTCGAGTACAAATTCCTTGATAGTTATAATTATAATATGAATGCTATTGATATAAAGAATCAGCTATATATATCTATATCAAGATATTACAGCATATCGTGATGATCCGTATCTCACATGATGTACTCGCATCAGGATCCAAAATCACCATCTCATTCATCAAAAACTCATCTTCCATTCCTTTTCATAAATAAGAACACTCCAACTTTCAATATCATGAACCAGAAACGCCATCATCGTCGTCAAAGAAAGACGAGGTAACAAGCACCGACCAACACCACCAACACCACCAACACTCACCACCCACCACCCAAACCCCGGAACCCGCCGAAACCCCCACTATACCCCATCCAGGCTAGTCTCTCCAACAATGACCTGACAACCATTCCCTCCTCACACCACCATCATGCTATTATCCAACTTTTCTTACATTCTTTCCTTTTCCCGTTCTAAAATCCGTATAATGTCATTGAAATTATTGAATCTATCTTTGTAAACCCCTCAATCTCATTCGTTGATATTTTCTACGCCCAGTAAGGAAGATGAAGGAAGATGAAGGAAGCGATTCCAAGCGAAGAGATCAGGAGACTTTTAGACGCGTGGTGTTGTGTGAATGGGAATTTTGGCACGATGTTCTTGGGGCGTGGGATCATGATGGTTCGGTTTGGGATTTGCGGTTGGAGGCTGTGGTTTGGCGGGAGAAGGGTTTTCGGGATGCTTAGGATGATTTGTGGTATTGGTATTGTTGAGTGAATTGAGGTTCGGAGAGTAAATCAAGGATATCTGGTTGGTATATATAGGTGTGCATCCTTCCTGTCGTGTTACGGTTCTTGCATTGCATATCATACAGTACAATCATACAGTGTGTACAATATACCAATCACTTCACTCAATCATAACACACACACACACACACACACACGCATAAAAACCACTCCTCAATCCAATCAAACACTCTCCTCACAACAACCAACCAACCAACCAACCAAAACAAACCATGTCCCCAATAATCCGACAAGTCACCTCCCGCCGCGCATTTTCCATCCTCACCCGCGCCCGCCAAGTAGCACGTGATTTCGAACCTCATCCATTCGAACGCTATCCCATTTCTCAACAAGCTGCTAAAGCCGATTGGGGCAGATTGGTTAAGAGAACTGCTGGAAATGCAATGTTGTAAGTTCTTTGTTTCCCCAGGCTGTTTTCAGAATTAGCTCGGAGGAGGGTGGTGATAGAGACTAATATGATATGTAGATATTTCCCCGGTTTTGCATTTGTGCTCGGATGGCCATTGTTGGCTGAGAAGGCCTTGAGGAGAACTTGAGTTGGAATTGGAGTTGGGGTGTGGAAGAGGATACAGGGTGGGTAGAAGGGAGATGTGTATGGGATGAATGGCAAGGTGGATGATCTGTTTCTGGTGTATAAGTGATGGCGTTCTCGGATAAGCATTTGGGAGGCATTTTGAGATAGATGGTGGTTAGGCCATTTTTGGAAGAATAGATGAATAATACAAGATATGGACAAACACAACAGCAAGACTCCATGATTTTGTGATACCGAAAAAATGGCTCTGAGAGCCACACAACATGTGAATTAAGGACTGAACTCTTGTATCTTGGAATATGGCCACTCAGCCCTAGACGTGCAGTCCCCTAATATGCGAGGATAGATTACAAGATGTGCAGCTACACGAAAACACAGATACAAGCTATAATACAAAAACAACTCGTGGAAATAATCTCATCTCTTCTTCCGTTTTGGCGTCTTTTCTAATTCTCCAGGAGCATTTGCGATATCTGCTAAAACGGCATCCTCTTCCTCCTGCTTGACAATACCAGCCTCGGATTTTAATTGATCTTTCTCTTCAGGATTCAGTGGTATGTCCTTGCTATCTTTTTCCGCCTTGATCGTTTCCGTTCGCTCAACCACATTACCCTCCTCGTCTGTCTTGATCTTTTCCTCTTTAATCTTTCTTCCAATTGTAACTTTACTTCTATCGGCTGCCTTACATAATCCATTCATTCCCAACTCACAGCTCCCACATTTCTTTCCAACCGGTAAACAGACAGTTTGTCCAAACCCAACTAGTAACCAATTGATCTCATGCCATAGTTCTTTTGGCAACCAAGCTTGTAAAGCCAATCTTGTTTCCTCTGGTCCTTTAGTCTTGTGCCAACCCCACATATTCGTAATGCGATGAACATGTACATCGACACCAATTCCTTCCGTTCTACCCCAAGCACTACTCATACACAAATATGCCATCTTTGGACCAACTCCTGGTAAAGACATTAAACCCTCAATAGTATCCGGTATATCTCCATTCCATTGATCTCTCAGAATCTCCGCGGCAGCTTTGATATACTTGGTCTTATTATTATGAAACCCCACCACCCAAATCAACTCATTCAACAATTTCGGATCCACAGCCAATATATTATCCAACGTCAACCCAATCGGCGCGCCCTCCTTATGAGCAGGTAACTCGGTATAAAGACGATTCATCGCAACCGCATTCGTAGTATCCTTAGTCTGCGAAGACAGCATCAACGCAGTCAAGGTATGATATCTCTTCGTTTTCGGATCCACAGTCTCTTGTCCCAATTTCTCACATCCCATCGTATCTACAGCTGCATTTTGCGCGACGCCCAGTTTCCGCATCTGCATTACGATATCGTAGACTTCGCGCCAGTCATTGGGAGGCTGGATCTCTATATCTCCGGTATCTTCATTCTTGACTTTACGCGCGGGTTTGCGTACTCGACTTGTTTTTGACGGAGGGGAAAACGCGATGGTATTTTCGAGTTCAGTCTTGATTGTCGTTTCTTTGAGAGATTGTTTCTTTATAGAAGTTTTTGGAGCAGAATTTCTCTTTCTCTTGAGACTCGAAGTTGAAGGAATGACATCTTCGATATCTGGGGTTGGCGATTTATCTTCATCCTTAATCGAAGCATTTAAAGCAAACCGAGATAGAGACCTTGTGGAACGTCGTGGTGAAGTAGACGTTGCATTGATTATCTTTGCAGTATCTTTCGATATTCTCGAGGTTCGCATGATTGGAATTTTTGACTTCAATCGGGGGCTGAATCTGGGTGGCCATTTTGTTATATCGTAGTCCTTGACCTCCGGTTAGCTAGCACGAGAATGATGCGTCGGTTTAGGCGCGTTAATTGAAAAGATTCGCTTACATAATTCTATAATTTTGTTCACCAGCCCACCAATGAAATCTCTCTAGTTGGAAATTCAAAGCAAGAATCACAACACTCGTAGAAGGAGATATAGGGTTGAATGTATATACCTAGGTAAGGAAAGGACTTGGATATGAAAGCTGAGAACATTTTTACGTCAGGTATGATTAATTCTCATTTCCATCAATATTACACTCCTCAACTTACTCACAAACCCGCTGGCAATGACGCATGACCTGGTTGCTATATCGGAGAGAAATATCTTTCTACAGACTTGATTTGATCTTGCCCTTACCTTGATACTTCCTGGAGAAATATTGAGATGCATTCGGAGAACTATCCCTTATAATATCTTATTTGCCTAACAGACACGCGCACTTTGAAGTTATTGTCGCTCGTCGTCTCCTGCTAAGACGAGACCATTCAAGAGCAGAGTAAGTGCTCATCATCTACTTGTCTTGCTACAGATATTAGAGGTCCCTGCTGAAATATTGTAGATCTCTGATTCTTGGGCATCAATATCATTGAACGAGCTGTTCTCGTCTGGTATATTGGACTGTGAATACTCAAGCGAGACCCCTAGTTGTCACTTTATCTTGGCATCAAAGTTCTAGATATGTACGCGATTTGCATACCTAGGTATACATTACCATCAATCCTCCTCAATTCTATTCAAACATTTCGTAGCACTCTACTTTTAAGCTCCCAGATGCTTTTCCATAACTCACACGGCTATTTAGACAGAAGTACATCAAGGATTTACCAAGATTTACATTCTTGCCAGGCTAAAACACGTCAGTCCAATACCATGGGATCACCATCGAGTCCCTCAATTAAGGTAAGTAAATAATGAATATCATTTCATTTGAATGTAAAACATGGATACCTCATATCCAAACATTGATGCCCATACTAACCCCTCTCCTTTGAGCTACGCGAGCAAAACCCCTCATCACCACCAAAAGTCTGTATAGTCGGCGCGGGACTTTCCGGACTTCGATGCGCCGATATACTACTTCAACATGGTTTCGACGTTACAATCCTTGAAGGTCGTGATCGAATTGGTGGCCGAGTTCACCAAGTAAACTTACCATCTGGTCCATTGGTCGATCTAGGAGCAAATTGGCTTCATGGCAGCGACGATCAACCATTATTGGATATGGCCAATAGTACCAATACGGAAGTGCATACTTGGGCTGAAAAGGGAATTTGGTTTGGAGAGGATGGAAAGCCTCTTGCTGATGGAGATGCAATGATGAATGAAGTGTGGGAAATTATTCATGGGGCGTTTAAGTATTCGGAAGAGAATTCGGAGAATATTAATCCTGATAAAAGTCTTTATGATCTCATCGAAGAGAAGCTTTTGGAGAAATATCCTGATGATGCGGAGAAGAGAAGAGTTTCGATTCAATTTGCTGATATATGGGGAACTTTTGTTGGGAGTTCAGTGAAGAAGCAAAGTTTGAAATTCTTTTGGTTGGAAGAGTGTATTGATGGAGGTGAGTTAATTTTCACGACTGCAACGTGTCAAAAATCCTACTTGTGACGTACACGTATTCAAATACTTTGCCATTGTTTCAATGGCTTGAAAACAACTGAGTATGAGTGGACTAATTCGTATACTAGCAAATATCTTCGTCGCTGGAACCTACAAGAATATTCTCGCCAAGATCGCCAAACCAGCTCTGGAAAATGCAAAAATCCAATACTTGACAAAAGTAACTCGCGTGGAAACAAATCTAGAAAATGTCACCGTATTCAGAGATGACGGTAAAAGCCTAGAATTTGATGAAGTAGTCATGACCACACCACTCGGCTGGTTAAAGAAAAACAAACAAGCATTCCAACCTGCACTCCCCGCCCGATTTCTCTCCGCCATCGACTCCCTCGGCTTTGGTTGTCTCGAAAAGGTTTGTGTACTCCTCTCCCTTCCCAAGAACTCCAGTCTAATAGATACCTAGGTCTACATAACCTTTCCCCACGCCTTCTGGACCGATCCCACACTCTCTCCCTCCTCCCAAACCTTCGACGGCTTCACCCAATGGCTCGCACCCACCTACACACCCACCACCAATCCCCACAAATGGCACCAAGAAATCGTACCCCTCTCCTCATTCACCCCCCAAAACGCACATCCCACCCTCCTCCTCTACATCTACGGCGCGCAATCCCAACTCTTCGCGCAAACCCTCTCGGAACTGCGTACTCCCGCCGAGAAAGACGCATTCCTGATTTCCTTTTTCAAACCCTATTATTCGCTGCTTCCTAATTACAAAGAGGGGAATCCAAATTGTTTACCAGTGTCTTGTGTGGGTACCACGTGGATCAATGATGATCTGGCGGGAAATGGAAGTTATACTAATTTTCAGGTGGGGTTGAGAGAGGGGGATGAGGATGTGAAGGTGTTGAGAGAGGGGCTGTCAGAGAGGAGATTGTGGTTTGCGGGGGAGCACACGGCGCCTTTTGTTGCGTTGGGGACGACGACGGGGGCGTATTGGAGTGGGGAGGCGGTGGGGAGGAGGTTGGTGGAGGCTTATGGGATGGGTGGGAAGAGTGTGTGAAGGGATGAGGTGTGATGGATTTGTTTAGATTGTTGTAAGTCTTACTTTGCAGGTAGATTTTGTATTTGTGTTGTGTTGTGTAGATTATGTATGGGTATAAGTTATAAATGCTACATAGAGATTAATCTTCGATAAATCCATATTTTACCTTCCTTTTTACCTCTTTACCTTCACACGATCTTCTCAAACGAACAAAAAAACATATACCATTCCACCTAACACCCACCTTCCCTTCCCTTCCCCTCCCCTCCCTTCACACTTTCCCAAACCTCAAACCTCAACCCCAAAAATAAACACATCCATCACCATCTCCAAACAATACTGAAATCGAAAAACATACATAGCATCACAGCCCACAATCATGCATGCCGCGTGCAGCGTGGTGATGGACGTACATATTATGGTACATATGTGGATGTATGTATGTATGTATATATGTATGTATATGTATATGTGGATGAATAAACGTACTTGGAAATATGGAAAGAACGGTGAGAGTTACGGGCTAGATGGACTAGATGGATCGGAGCAGAACAGACGAAGCAGGCGGAGCAGACCGCTGAATTGAAATCCGATGGGATGGGATGGGATTTCTTGGTCCTGGATATTACTGGGTGAGTGGTGATGGGAGCTGATGTGATTTAATGATGAGAGTGAGAGTGAGGGAATTACTTTTGAGGGGGGGTATCTGGAGTAGGGGATTGGAGGATTGGGAAGTGGTGGTGTCGAGAGTTAGTTGATTTAGGAATTTGGGGGTTTGGATTGAGTTGAGATGATTGAGATATTCTATCTAATCATCCATCCATGCACACAACAAACAACCAACCCGTGACAGGACCGATCCCATCCATTCATTCATCCATTTATTCCTTCCAATTAAACATTAAATACTAACTTTCCACCATTCCTTGACACCTATCCATCCATCCACCCCCCCAATCGAAATTGTACTCGCGTCTTTTACACAGAGTATTCTTGTCACTTGTGCAATCCCAATCTCAATCCCGATCCCGATTCCCCAAATCAAAGAATCATAGCTTAAGCATAGTATTGGTATTGAGCATTATTAGTATTAAGTCTCGCCCGTGCGTTTCTCCTTCTCCCTCATCTAAGACACCATACACCATGTTCACATCGTTTATCAAAGTTTGTACAGTTGTACAGTTGTACAGGTGGACTGGGATGGGTGACTGGTGATACAAGTATGTGAAGTCGATTACTAGGAAGTACATTGTTGTTCAAATATATACTAGGAATACTAGGAATGGGAATGGGAATGTTTCTAGATGTTCCTCCACTGAGATGATTGTGGTTTTGGGGTTTGTGGTATGGGAAGGGGGAGGGGGTGTGTAATTGTATGTGTGTATATATGTGTAATAATGATACTCTGTACTTGAGTAGATACTTTTCATGAATGTGAAGCTTGGAATCTGAATGTGAATGTGAATGTGAATCTGTGAATGGAAGGGGTTCATCCAATATTTGGTTGACTTAACAACATGTATGATTGTATTACTCCCATGTGGTTTCGTGCTCACTCCGTGGATCTAATTAGTGAATGGAAATGATAGCTGATAGCTGATAGCTGGTAGCTGGTAGCTGACTCGTAACGCGTGATCTTCATCATGATGTGTATGTATTTACCATTGAATGTCTCGGGTTTCTGACGATATATTTACCCAGGACTTTGATCACAAACACCCAAGCTTTTCACGGTAATGAAGAGAGGAAGGAAAGAGAGAGAGAAAGAAGGAAAAGTAAGCTAATTTGACCGACTTCTTCATCTTCCCCTTAATTTCATCTTTTTTCTTTTTTCTCTTTTGCCTTCACCCCAAATTCGACAATGTATGTTTTCTCTCTTAGTTACACAGCACCGAGTAGAAATGTACAAGCATTATTGTCCCTATTGTCCCGTAGTGCAGGTAAATGGAAGCCGTTCTAGTCATGCTAACAGGGAAGAGCTGTTCAATGACGAACTTTGAATGGTTATTTGCCGGTATTTACAGGTATTTACAGGTATTTATTGCAGACTAAGGTATGTGAATGGATAAGAATGGATAAGAATGGACAAGAATGGAGATGAAATATACATTAACTAATGTATATTAATCTCGACTTATGTATACTAATCTACCATTGTACCTGATTAAAATGATTTGGACCCGGTGAACCCCAATCTGATCTCTACCAACCGTGTCTACCGTGTCTACCATACCTATCATACCTACCATACCTTTTCATGTACATCCGATCGATGTCCCTTGGGTAAAGGTGCATGTGAGTGATTCCCACCACACTGACAATACCATGCGACAGATAGTCCATATCTTCCAAAAAGTATCCAAATACCACGCAATCCAATCCAACCCAACCTCTTCTTCTTAACCATCACAAGATTCGCAATTTTCACAATCATCTCTTGCCCTCTTGCCCTCTTCCTCTTGTTTCTACACCGTTTACTACCTACCACTTAGTATACTGGACCTACCAACATATCCTTCTCCTTTCCTCTTCGTAAAACATTCACAAAAGACATTCACAAAAACATTCCCCCCCCCCCCATTCACCGGAACTACTTATTCTAGATTATATAATAAATACAATGGAATAAATAAATCCGCCATCATGTTATCAGGAGAGCACAACAACTCCACCAAGGAAGCACAACTTCACAGTTTACCATTCAGAAGCCAAAGTTCAACAACCCTGAAACCCTAAAATCCCGAAATTCCTGTTCCTGTTCCTGTTCCTGTCCCTGTTCCTGTATTCTTCTTCATCAGCCAGCCAGAGGGACAACGCAGCCACTTTCTCTAGCTTCCCATCTAGTCTGCACACCAAGAAAACGCCCGCATGATGGCACATTTATCAGATTTAATCGACCACATTCCAAGATCGGATGAACAAGAACGTAGCACATTGAAATGTTGTTGTGGTCGCAAAGAGTGCGCATTTCTCCTTCACAATGGCGAGGTCTTGGATAAGCTGGAGGGAGATGTGACATTGGCTGCTCAAATGGGTCAGGTATGAACGATTTCTTTCCATGTTGTTTCTCATTTTCTGGTGTTGATGTTACTCTTGATCTTTCTAACATTCCTCCGCGCAATCTTTTCCTTTCTTTCTTCACATCGTCAAACCTCAGGGGAAATTAAAGGTAGCAGAGATTTTACTTGGGGGAAGTGGATACTGTGACCTTGGTTCTTGGATTTATTTACTTTTGGCCTCGATTTAAATTAATCTAATCTTCTTTCTTTGTTTACAACCCCGCGTTATCGTACGCGCTTATATATAATTAGACGGATGCAAAGGAGTGGGGGCGCGGGAAATACATATTGGGAAGATGAATCAATCATTGACTTTTGCTCTGCAGGCTTTGTTAGAAAGACATGAACATTATATGCTCGATGCCGAACGAGAACGAGCAAAGATGACGGCGAAGATCGAGCAATTGGAAGTGGACAAGAAGGAATTGGAACGGAAAAATGAAAAGACGATTGAGGAGAATAAGGCACTGCTAGATCAACTCGAAGGTCTCAATGATAGTTATGAGGAATCCGAAGTTCAGATCAAATTACTCGAGTCGACTTTACAAAGTACGCGTACCGAAATGAAACGTCTGGAAACTTTAGCTTCGAGAACATATCAACTAGAGAGAGATTTGGCAATCTTGGAGGAAGAACAAGAAACGTTACGAAAAACTATTATACATACGGCGGCCGAAGAACGGACGGCGATATTGAGGTGGAAGAGAGCGGAACGAGGACTTTGCGATTTACAGGATCAATTGGAGAGGATTGAACGAGAAGCACAAGAAGAAAGGGAACGACATGTGGAAATTTTGGGCCGTATGGAGAGACAACGGACAGTTGAACGAGAATTGGATACAGCTGCATGTCGTTTGAAGGGTGCTGCTGCCGCTACATCAGGCAGAGGCAAGCATGGTACTAGCGTTGTCTCGCATTTTGTGAAGGATATTCTACAAGATAATGCGAATTTACAGCTTGGGATCGTGGAGTTGAGAGAGATGCTGATGAATTCGAATGATGAAGTACAAACATTACGAGAACAATTATTGATGCATCAACCGATGTATGCGGAGGATGGTGACAACGTAGCTCAGCAGCGGACATTAGGGGCAGAACTTGCGCCAAGCGAACCGGATTCCGAACAACGACCACAAGAACCACAAGTTATTTCCCAAGCGCTTCATATACATCACCATTATCATGTCCCAAAGAGAGAAGAAGCGCGTAAGCCGAAAAAGAAGCGAACCTCTTTAAATTCTGGTATTTTCCCTCCATTTACTCGAAGTCCACAATCTCCACGAATTTCTAGGGGCGCAGAGAATGCTATACTAGCTCAAACAGCAGTCACCGTTCCGAGTCCTATCAATACGAATAATCGATGGTCTGTTCAATCGAGTCAATTGTCAGAATTTGCTCCTTCATCTGTGCCATCTTCTCCACAATCTATGTATCGAAGTAGTGCTCTATTCGATCGAAGTTTCGACATCGATTCATCGCGTCCGACATCACCTACCTCAAGTATCGACCCATTGTCGCCTCGAGTTCATCCTTCATATCATAGAAAGCGTCCTTCTGAAGTTTCAACCCGAAGCTTTTCTGCTATTTCTAATTTTCAACCTCATAATATAATCCACGAAGAGGAGGATGACGATGATTCTCGTGATGTTTCGGACCTTCAATTTACGAGAACTCCGTCTCTAACGGATGATTCTACAAATCCTACCACTTCAGATGTTTCTGATAATACAATTGATGAGTGGATTCCTCGTCAATTTGGTCCTAGGTTACATCGTTCTCCATCTCATGAATCGATTGTTTCAATTTCAGGTATCGATATTCACACGTTAAAAACTCGACCGTCACAAATAAATATGACCTCGGCCGGATCATTAAGACCACAATCTAGACTTTCCACTCCAACAATGACATATTCTACAGAAACTATCACTGGTGCGTCTATGATTACAGCTCGACCTACTTTATCTCGAACCGGGCATGACAGTACGAGTTATCTTCGTTCCAACATTGGACACTCAAGCTCACCGAGATCAACAAGTAATGATCGAAGTTCCATTCGATCCAGTTCATCTAATGAAGGTAATCATAGTAGTACTGGTCTAGGAAAGAAAGTCGGTGGTTGGGTTTTTGGTCGTTGGGGAATGTCTCCAACGAAATCAACAAATGATCTTAGAAGTTCCTCAAAGGCACACGTACCGGTTCCTCCACCGACTATTCGGGCTGTAAGCACGCCCTCTATTTCTATAACTCAAGAGCCTCTCAGAGCCATTTTAGGAAGAGCGGCGGGAATTAATCAGAAAGGACCGATTCCGGGGTTTAGACAAACGGAAAAGGCGCCTAGTAAGGTGGTGCCGGATTTGGTTGATAGAGATGCTTTGGCGGAGGTTTTGGAGGAATGATGTTGTGGAGATTTCTAGGTGGATCATTCTGGAAAAGATTGGAGTTCAACATGATAAGATGGGATCGGAGTGTGAAAATGGATCGATCACCTTCAGCATAAATGCTATGTGATGGGGAAATTCTTTTGTTAAATTTCTTTGTTGAATTTGAAGATGGGATTTTAAGGGGAGGTTATTGTGGAGTACCTATATCTTTTTTCTTATGTTTTTTTATTTATACTTACATATAATTGGCAAGGCGTTTGGTGGGATTTTGGGGTGGATTTTGGTTGGGATGGATTGGCATGGTTTGTTTTTGTATGGATACCCTATTTGCGTTTTCTGTGTATATCTTATTTTTTCCTTTGTTTTTGGAGATTGTATGGATGGATGGATGGATTTAGTTGTTGATTATATGATATGAAATGAATTAGGATGAGTTGAGTTGAGATGAGATGCGATGGGGTAGTATTAGAAGTTCAGATTGAATAAAATGGCGTGTGTGGTGTGGTGTGGAATAGGCTGGGAGAAGAGGAATAGAATGGAATCAGAATATCACATTGTGAACTTGTTTGTGGAAAGGATCTTGAATGTTGGATGTTGGATTGTGAATGGTAGATGTGATGTTAAATTGTAGTAGGTACCTAGTAATAAGTAGTAGATAGTAAATAGTAAATAGTAGGGTAGTAGGTACTCACTCGGTGGATGATACATAATCTTTCAAATTCAAGTAAGCGATCTGGGCTGGTCTAGTCTGATCTTATTAGAGGAGTGGTATTATTCAAGTGTGTATTACTATTTTTCTTGATGTATATAGATGTCTGTTTGGAGTATCTATGTATGTAGCCTTGAAGGAACTACGTATATAGAGTAGCTGTTTAGAGTTACTATTGAAAGTTATTACTGTTTAAAATCACTATTGAAAGTCACTGTTTAAAGTTACTGTTTAAAATCACTATTTAAAATTACTATCTGAAGTCGCTATCTGGAATTACTATCTAGAGTTACTAGCTAGAATCTAGATTATACATACCTATTAAAAGATACTATATGAAGAGTATATATATCATATTATATCTATTCCCTTTTATTTCATTTATTTATTTATTTATTTATTTATTTATTTATTTATTTATTTATTTATTTATTTATTTATTTATTTATTTATTTATTTATTTATTTATTTATTTATTTATTTATTTATTCATTTATTCATTTATTCATTTATTCATTTATTCATTTGTTCATTTATTCATTTGTTCATTTATTCATTTGTTCATTTATTCATTTGTTCATTTGTTCTCTTTCATCCCTCTCTAAATCTTACAACGACCTATATAGATATATACCTAGATACCTAGTAGCTTAAGAAATCGATTAACGTAGTTCATGTTACAGGAGCTATTTCTAGGGTTATATAGAAGTATCTAAAGATCTCTCGAAATGGTTTATATTAAACTTTAAATAGGAATTCAATAAGGTTGTAATTATTGTAATTCTTATAATTATAATAATGAAATTAATGATTGTTTTTGAGCACAAAGCTCTATATCCTAATGAAACTTATTTGTTATATAGACCTTTATCATTTGGAGCCCTTAGGATTCGTATGCTCCTGGAGCCTGTAGCTCCTCAAGGCTCCCTCATGTGACACGCGAATGTGTTATGTAATGTCTGTCGTAATAGTTCATTAGCATATAAGTCACTCTATTTTACATATAAAATTCATCTATATATAACTATATACTTTCTTTATTTATGAATATAAATTTTTCAAAAATTTCAATTATAAAGTCTGATTTTTCAAGTATTTCAAAAATCTAATTTTCTTATTCTCTAAACCGTCATTATATAATATCTCACTTGATAAAGATCTTAATGACCAATCAGAACATTAGAATTCTGAGAATTCTCATAATATTAAAATTATATTCTATAATAACTATTAAAACATTTATTATTATTATATAAAAAAATATTGTATTCTTTACATCCCTATTTACTCTTATACCTCACTCCTTTTTATCTAAAATTAATAAACTTCTCTCTTAATATAATCCTTTTTATTTTATAAAACTATTCTTTATAAATATAACAATCCCTTTTATTTCTCAACCATATAAAATAATAATTTTAAAAAGGGTTATAAATCTCAATTAAAACTAACCAAATCTATTTTATATATTTAGAATAACATTTAGGCTTAAATTCAATAATTAATTTATTAGTAAAAGATTTTCAAAAATCATTAACGTAACGATGGGGAACTCGGACACTTTTTCAATTATTCTACACGCGATCTTGTTCTACGAGCCACACAATCCTCCAATTCCAATTCCGAATCACTTGAACTATTCTCTAGCTCTTCTTCTTCAATCTCTTCTTCTGATTCTTCAATTGGGCGTTTGCGTGGCCGTCCTCGTGGCTTTTTCTCCTTCGGTTTTTCCTCCGCCTCACGTACCATTTTCAATACTTCCTTAGTACTAAAGACAAATTGACCTTGTAATTTGACTCTTTTGCCTTTAGTTCTTTTCTTTCGAGTCTCAATTACCTCCTGAGCATCAGAGAGCTGTTTCCGAAGTAGGGCTATCTCAGCATTTTGAGATTCTACAAGCCTAGTCATTCTCTTGGCATATCGACGAGTTGGCGATGCAGGAGAACCACTGCTTGCTAGAGCTGTATTAAAGATCTGATTTGCTTGCCTTAGTTCTGTTCCATCTGGAGGAGAACTCCTGAGTATAGACAAGTCTAGGTCTTGATTGGGGGTTCTCATTTGTGGAGTAGAAGGTTGCTGGGAGGAGTTAAATGGTAATGAATCGAGTACTTTTCGTGGGGCAAAAGGTACTAAACCAGCTCCTCTCCAGCCAGCTTTAATATTAGAAGAATTCAATGCTTTTTTTCTAATATTTTGAAAGAGTTCTACCCATTCAGCTCTTTGGATTCGCTTTACACCAGCTCGAGAATATCGATCGACCTCTAAAGCATGATATCGTTTCATTGGCCCATACACCGCAATATCAAGTGGCTGAAGCAAGTGAGAGCAATGAGGAGGTAATATAAGTAAATCAATATCATTATCTATACAGAAAGCAATAAAGCTACCTGTAATATGGCTTGAATGGCCATCCATGATCAAAAGTCGAGGTCGGTCACCTGACACTTTCTTGGATTCTGGTTCGAAAACCCTTTTTAACCATTCTAATCCATGGCTATTTGAGGTCCATCCATTTGTACTAGTAGAGAACTGCCAGCTTTGAGGTGTGTCCTTTGGAATCCATGTAGAATTCGTATTCTGAGCCTTGAAAATGACCATAGGTGATAGAGCATTTCCAGCTGCATTGACACATTCAAATGCAGTTATCCATTCTTGCTTGCCAGCTGTAACTTTCCAATTCGATTTCTGAGTAGAATCGACTATAATGCGCGTACTTTGAGTACTTCCAACTCCAAATCCGGTTTCATCCATATTATACATATCATCTAATTCATACTTTCGCTCAATGAGACGCGTGCGAAACGCGTCAAACCAAGCCTGAATATTCTCCGGAGTTGCTTCTTTAGCCCGATTAGACTCTAATTGACGTGAATAGCATGTTTTAAGTTCTGGATGTCGTTTTTGGAATCTATAGATCCATTCGTGGCCTATAGGTGGAATTTCTGTCGAGGTAGGATTTCGAGATGACGCGACCCGAACGCGTCGAAGACGAATTTCGTCGGCCATTTCCTTCACCAACATAGGTGTAGCAGGGAATCCAGTGATGGTAAGTCGTGAAATCCATCGTACAAGAGTATTTTCTTCTGCGTTTGAAAGAATTTGAGCCATTTCGTGGGTTTGGGAACGTGTTTTCTTCCCAGCCAGCCTATCAGCTAGGGTAGACTTAGGGACTTCAAAATGCTCTGCAGCCTTTCTAATTGATTTAAATTCTTTCAATTGAAGTGAAATTATAGCCTTTTGAAGCTTCTCTTCAATTTGAGCAGATGTAGAAGGTGATTGGGTATGCATAATAAAAGTTATTGCGGTTTCAAGTTGGTGATGGGCTAAAAGTGTCCGAGTTCCCCATATGTCCGAGTTCCCCATACGTTACGTTATATTTAAGAAATTTGATTATAAAATACTTTAATATAATTTTTTTATAAATCAAATAATAATTAACTAAAACAGTAATAAAAAGTCATTATTCTAAAGCTTAATGATTATTACATTATTATTGTTAATATTCTAGTATAAATATATATAATTAATTCTCTATATTAATAGCATTTATATTACAATTATAATTATTAAAAAGGATCAAAATAGATAATTCTTTTTTATATTCATCTTCGAATAATACTCAAACTGTTTTAGCTTTCGAAAAGGTAATTTTTAGTTTTTTATATATTCTATTAATAAAAGTTTTTTCATTATAAATTATAAATTATATCAAAATTACTACATTATCCTTTTATACTATAAAACATACATTATTCGAGGATAATATTTTAAAATGAATTGTTCCCCATAATATCTTATTATCTTTAGCATCTTAAACCTTTAAATTAATCAGATCTCATGAATATTAAAATTAAGTTTACATATCCCTATTATAATATACCCTAAATAATACATATATTTCAAAAAGTTACAGGAAATGAATAGATTATCAATATAAATATAATATAATTTTTTAGGTAATTTTTACATTAAATATAGAACTACTATTTATATAGGATTTATATGTTTTTTATTTATTATCAATCCTAAAAGAGGGGGTATAATTACACCTATAGAACTATTCTTTTTATTAATCTTATACTAATTCTACACCATACAGAAGCCTTGATTCACCACTATTCATATTTTAAATTCTATAGATATAGGTTTATTTTTAATAGTAATAATAAAGCTTGATTGGTCAGAATACTAAGCTATACCTTCATCAACTAATATTCGATCCTGAAACACCTATATTGAGAGATTAATACTCTAAATATAATCTAATAATAAATCTACCTATAAATAAGCATATTAATATATAAAATTCAAATTAACAAAATAATATCTCACTCTTTCATAAACATCATGTTACGGGAGCTGCCTCTAGGGTCACATGGAAGTGGCTAGAGATCTCTCAAGATGGTTTAAATTAGACTTCAAATAGGAATTCAATAAGGTTATAATTAATTGTAATTCTTGTAACTATAATAATAAAACTAATAATTGTTCTTAAGCACAAAGCTCTATATTATAATAAAACCCATGCCCTTATATAGACCTTCGTTCTCTATTGTCCTATTGATCTTATTCACTAGGAGTAATAGGAGTGATAGGATCCCATTAATCCTATTGATAACAATTAGTGGGATCGATAGAACGACCCATTATGTAACACCCCTTTTATAACTTTCAATAGTATTACTGCTTATCTAATCTGTGCTTACTAAATAATCTATAACTATTGTTCACCCTGTGTCTATTATAGGGTAGGTAATAACAAAAGATAGGTACCTATCCTTTAATTACTAATTACTTATTTGATTACCTCTATCTTTAATTACCCTTCAATTCAATTATCCCTACAATACTGTTTTCGTAGGTTCCAACATTAAGGCCTTAGGTTTATCTTATAATCCATATTATGGTGCGGGTACCTCCATAACACATCGCTTATTCCAGAGGGTTTAATACAATATCTTATATAAAGCTCTTCGAACCTATTCCTTAATATAAAACATATAAAAGGATGTACATTAATATCCTTACTATACTCCTAATAGATTTCAAATTTAAATTTAATATAAACCAATATATATATTGTCGGAATACATAACTAACAATATAACATTACATATTACATTTTACTCTACTGTTACGGGAGCTGCCTCTAGGGTCACGTGGAAGTGGCTAGAGATCTCTCGAGGTGGTTTAGACTAGACTTCAAGTAGGAATTCAATAAGGTTGGTAACTGGTTGCAATTCTCGTAACTATAGTAATGAAACTAATGATTGTTCTTGAGCACGAAGCTCTACATTGTAATGAAATCCCATTCCCTTATATAGATCTTCGTACTCTGATGTTGGTTGGAGTTTCTTGGAGTCCTGGCTCCCAAGGACCTCCTTGGAGCCCTGGCTCCTGGGGACTCCACCACGTGACACTTGTCACATGGCATTCTGTTACCCATCGTAACACTAAATATAGATAAATTTTGTCTATTATTATAAAATATTATCAAAATATTCGCAAATTCGAAAATTCTTCGTTTTTCAATATTCGCATATATAAATTCATTTATTCTATTATTAATTCTATTATTTTAATAGAAAAGTAAATATAAAATAAATTGAATACATTATATTCTTAAGCATTAGCTTATAGAATGAATTTTTAATCGAAATCGATAAAATTCATAGGTTCGAAAGAACTCCCTGCTTTCAAAATAAAGGGGATATTTGAGTATAATACCCCTATATCTATAAAATCAAATTCCACATTAATTGAAATTATATTGATGGAATTGTTATGTATTGTATATTTATTAATTTCTTTATTATCAATATTATTTACAAAGATATTGATGGTCTTGTTCAATATATGGACCACCCAGGCGTTGTATAATAGTGGTCTAGGGGATACGAAATTTTATTTTTTATAATAGTTATTAAAAAAATAGTTTTTTTTAAAATGAAAATCTGAAAACCACTATAATAATAATATCTACTTTTTTAAATAAATAAATAACATAGTGGGAATAATCCTATAAAAATTATATTTCTAAAAAGCTAAATTTTTATTATGATTTAGAGCTCGTTTTTCTCTTCAAAATAATGATTGGTTCTTAAAATCTAATTATCAAAAAACCCTCGATTTTAATGTATTTTCGAAGTGGCTCATATAGCAATATGGCCTACATGCTGATGAACCAAGTTATTAGTTTCATATTTGGTGTTTCGTCTTCTTGAAGGGATCTAAATCGGTAGGTATAAGGCTATAATAAACTAACAGAGCCGAATGAATCACTATAGCTCGTCTTGAAATCAATACATTTTCCGCGTCCAGATACCTAGGAATGTATATATGTTTCTCTGCATGTCCGAGACTGGAAGTAATGAGTTGTGAAGAAGAAAAGTCTCCACTTCTCCACTTCTCAAAAGCTAATTCAGATCATTGTTTAAGGATAGAAAGGAAAATAGGGAAAAGGAGAGGCCGAGGGGGAATGTCTTAGCGATTTGCAACTTTTCATTTTTGGATTTCGATATTTCGAATCTAGGATTTCGGGGTCTAGATCGTGGGGTGAGTGTGTGAATACATCAGTCAGAGTATGTACTTTTGACTTTTCCTTCGTACTAACTGGAGAGAACATCTGTAGCAAAAGAAACTGAATGCGAAGTTGGTAGTTCATTGCAGTACTCTGGGTAAATTCTTCGCGCTGTTTGATATCTATCTATCCATCTATGTATTCTTGTCATCTCGCTATTAACCCACAAGTGTTCCAAACACTCGAGCTTCATCTATCTACTATAAAAGTAAAGAGTCGGGCTTTAATAATGTCTATCTCATCGCTGTTATTTTTTCATCTCCATCATGCTCTATTTCCACGCATCGTAACATGCAAGATCATCGTTTTGAGTTTATTTGACTATCCGTATCTGTATCCAAAGGCGGCGATGCGGTGATGCAGCGATGTTTGAGCTTCTCCCACAAAATCCAAGTATCGTCACCATCCATCACACATCTATTTCCGCGACGGTCCCGTTATCGATAATTTCGAAATCGGTATATCATCTACACCCTCTGCCCTCATCCTCTCCAGATCCTGCTGCTTCATATCGTTAGTTCGATACATCGCTACCCACAATCTCACTGTTGCATTCTGAGATAGCTTGCGAGAACTCACTGTCGTGTTTCCGGTTCCAGTCCCTGTTGCTTGAGATTTATTTTGTTGTTCTTTCGTAGTACTCAGTCTAGATATAGATGTAGATGGTGATGTAGACACAACATCAGGCGACTCTGAATTTACCGGTGTAGTGAAAGTGCGACGTGCACTTCTCCTTTGAACTGTAGGCTTGCCATAACCTCTTGCTTGCAGACGTTCAGGAAGTGTTACAAAATCACAACTCAAACCGGTATTCCCACGGTTTTTATATTCTTCATCTTCATCTACATCTTCCAGATCGCTTGTAGACATCACATTCGATAATGCGCTCCGACTACGAATATTTCTTCTCGCGGTAAATGTATCCAGATTCATCGCTGGATCGGGGAGAGGTGGATCCATATTCACTGCTTCATCATCAACATCAACATTATTTGTACTTCCACGGTGTGTCATTGGGCGTGATGTGTTGGAAGAGGGACGAGTGAGAATAGAAGAGACTGGACGACCCGGTACTACATCCATGGCGTGTCTTCGCGCACGACGATGTCGTCTGGTGATATGCTGTCTACGAGATTGATCCAGATGCCGGAGTCGTCGAGCTCGTTGGAATTCTCGAACTCTGCTGCTGATATCGAGTCCCGCGGTTGAGATCGTGCGTACCTCCTCAGCTGTTCTGGGGAGGTGAGTTCCCATGGCTCTATCAGGTGATCGGATATCCATTTCTGGGAATACGACTGCGCGTACTTGCTCATCTAGCGTGGGGAGACGAAGATCCAAGGTACCATCAGGTGATATACCGAATTCCTCCCCAGAAAAGTGTAAAGCATTGCTGCGTGGACGCTGTCGTTGTTGTGAAGAACTAGGCAGAGTAGATGAATCTGTAGAAGTAACTGTAGTATCCGTTACTCGGACCGATTGGGTTTCAACCAAATCTGGATCTTCAGTTCGCTCAATGGTTTTCGGCTGAAGAAATAATGGTATTTGACGCCGGACAAATGGAGCTGGGGAATCAGAGGGGATTTCATCTCCGGCAGGATTGTGTATGGTGATTTCGGGAACAGTTTGCATGTCGGTATCTTCAGACGAGCGAGGGATGTTGGGATCCGGGAATGAAGTATCATTGGATTTATGAGAGGGGGTAGATGACATCTTGGAGAATATTGGATTGGTTGATTTTATGGTAGCTGGTCCTGATTTATTTAAAAACAGGGAAGACTACCTTGGGTGGTCGCTCTAAGGATGTCTTGGATTGACGAACTCGACTTCCTGATAAAATCGAGTTGAAGAGAAAGTGTAGAATTCCTCAAGACTGAAGTTGAAGTAGAAGTTGATATTATAGTGAAGATAAGTGAAAGTGAATATACTCACTCAAAAGTGTTGAGGTGAAGTTCGCAGGCAAATCCTATATCCAAAAGTTTCGCTGTGCTTCTCATCCTCTAGAAGACCACTCTCAACATTTCATATAATCTCTCCGTCCCCTCGAAACTCTTTGCAGTAACAATATCCGGTACGAAGAAATCTATACTGACCTGATCCAAAGATTATAGAATCAAATGAAAAGTAGTCTAAGAAATCTATCGCAATTATGAACTATTGGATCTGAAGCCGTTCCCAAGAATGAATTTAGTAAGAATGCTGATGAAAATATACGAATTGATTATTCACCTATAATTCCGCAAACATGGACAGAAAAGAACAAAAGACAATAAGATAACACTCCCTTCAGTCTTTCCTGTTACGGTATGATACCTTTTCCAAGGAAAGTGTAGCGAAAATGATTTTTTTCACATGCGGAACTCGTTCCTGCCATTTCCAGACATCAGAGGCCATTTCACAGCTTCCCCTTTCACAAGTCACGAGTCAAATTTCAATGTGCTGAGGAAGCTTCAATACTATTAACACCGACACGAATTAAAGAGCTTCTACTACACACCTATTCTCAGTGTCAAGACTACTATTTAATTTCAGCAACACCGCGAGTCGATATCAAAACCAAAAATGTCATGACCCTAGATACGCAACAAAGATCTTCATCAAAAACGAACTTTTTGTCGCACATCTAATTCTTTCAAATCCCATTCTTTCCATTTAGCTCTACATTAAGAATTTTCGCAAATCCATAGAAATCTTCAGAAGGAGTAAAAAATTGGTAATCTCCAAGTCTAGTCTGATGACTCATGAATTTGACGATGTATATGTTGTTCAAGTGAGATATTATGATTTTCAAATGGTTTTATAATTACAGTTAGAATTTAGTTGAAGCCATAGAGATAGAATAGGAGTGTAGTGTAATTATTGATTTAGTTGCACATCTAATGACATCTTGACACTCGGTTTCGAAATCGAGTTTACTTCTTTTCGATTACATTTTTCGCCTGGAAAAAAAGACAGATAGGTATATAAGAAGGAAAAGTTACCCGTCACTGGAGAAGCACAAAGACATAGCCATTTGCTGATTCTATACATCTTGTTGAAGTAAAACAGGTGCGATTTCGAAAGTATCACGACTAGAATTTGAGTTTGAGTAAGCGAGCGAGGGGGGTATTGTCTTCTTGTACATCTGATGACATTCTAGATAATTACTTCTATATTTGAGGCTCTTCGAGCATGGTTTGGTCAACTACAATATCGCCCTTTGGGCGATTATAATCCTTACGAATCTTGAATGATGGACTTCGAATTTAACCAATATACTCTCTCTTCAATATCGATAGGATTGCCGGAATATGAGAATAATTCTGGAATTTCTAACTTGGAATACTAAAACTTTCCACTAGTTTTAAGAGCTTTTGGTTGAACTTGCACGTCGCACTTCGGATTTACTACATGACGATTGACACTGGATCATGGACTTTAAAGCTGCTGTACGCTTGGTAAGAAAAGGAGCACAATAGAGAGGCAAACTTGAGCAATTTAGTCAAACTCTTTGCAATCTTGCGGTCTGGAGGAAAAGGTAGGAGGAAAAAATTAACGCATTGCGAAGCAAATAAAAACACAGAACGATGGTACTTTTCGATATCATATCAATAATAAAACACAAAAATGAACGACGAGAGCGACAATCAGAGGCACACAGTACATCTATCTCTCCTGAATCCTAGATAAATTGCTTCATAGCCAAGAAAGATAAATCACACAACTTTTCTCGAAAGTACTCCCTCCATCAACCACTTACTCGCTCTCCTTAACAATCTGCTCCAATGTCTTCACATAGTCATGAACCTCCTGTGCCCCAGTCAAGGTTATATCTCTCCTTTTACCCTCAACACTAACAACCGGTACACTATCCACACCATTCCCCTTCGCCTCTCTAATCAAATTCTTCACATCCATCAATCCCTCATATTCATCCTCAATGATCTTCTTTGCTTCTCCTTCATCCACTCCCGCTTCTTTACAAGCCGCAAGTAATGTCTCCTCACTACTTGGATGTTTTTCCTCTTGGAAATACATTTGATACAAAGCCATGACGATCTTATCCGCTGTTTCCGGACCACCACCTTTCACATCTTCTTGTTGGAAGTGTTGAACAACTCGATGAGCATCGAGAGTATTGGCAACTGTACCACCAAATTTGTAATCTATACCAGCGGACTTTCCATATGCAGTCATCAACTTGATATACATTTCCATCTTGTCCTCAGAATCTCCATAACGGGATTTGCGATACCAAGCATATTTATCTTCGCCTTCTTTGCTAGCTCCGGGATATAATTGATATGGCGAAAACTTGATGGTGAAATTAACCTTCGAAACTGCATCTGTTGAACGAACAATACGGAGTGCTATAGGGAATGTTAGTAGATGGAGATGGGTGTATGGACCTGAGTGAGTGTGGGGGCGGGGGAAAGGAGACGACGGCGTTGACCATCATCATCACGTGAGTGATATCCTTTCTCAATCCAATTCCCATATCCTGGGTATTTGGGTATCATTTCAATCAACTTCTAATATGGAAGAAAAGCCTGATTCTTACCTTCATCCAATCTAAGTGATGATGCTGCAGTTAGTAATCCGTATTCTCAGACTTCCAATAATATTCCCGTGAAATATTGAATATCCTTACCTCTTCTTGGCAAGATAAGTCCTAATTGCGACCAACACGATCAGTCATACTCTTGATCTCGTATTCCATCAAAATGTGCTTGGACAATCACCCGCATATGCAATGTGCTGATGGTGAGAATGGCAATGGATCAAGAAAAGAGAATAGAAAAGGAAGGTATGTAGAGAATTTACGGAGACGACTTACCATGGACAAATGGTATCAAAGGTAAATGTGATGGTAGAATCGTACATGGTGTTGGCGAGAGTGTGAATACGAGGTCTGAGGATCTTATCGGGGCAATGTTACGAAGGTGTATTTGTCGTTGGACCTGAGGTTGTTTTCTGTGTGAGAATAGAAACGTGGGATATAATAAATCGAGATGGGAAGATTTGAAATGGAAGTAGTTGTTATACTTTGCAAAGAGAGGATGTTATATGTAGATAAATTCATTGAAATGAATGGGGCAAATGTAGATATGATGTTGTTGTTGTTGTTGTTGATGTTGATGTTGATGTCGATGTCGACTGTTATCTCACGCCATTTCTCAGTCTACTTCAAGAACGAACTACCCCGCGATGAATAAGCGGATCAGAGTGTCGTGACTAGCCAAGCATATTGCATTCCAGCCACACCACAACCACTCCACTATCCCGAGGTCTTCCATTGTACCACCTGTTGATTTTATTCCTTTCCTTTCCTTTCCTCCCCTTTCGCTCAAGCGACCGGCATTCTTTTTCTGAATACCATCACTCCAACACTCTCGAGATGCAAGATACTGCCCACCTCAAATGCAGTACAACCCTGCCAACAAATGGGTCATCAGAATGCCAAGGTATCTTTCCATCTACTCATCGCTTGAACCAACCCGTATAACCACCTCATCCGGTATGGATCGATTCAGCATCCAATAAATGGGATGATGACAAGTACGAAGTATTATGCTATACCATGCCACTATTGATGCATCTTCGGCATAACTCGGTGTCTTTTCCCATCTCCCTTCTTCTCTCAATCAAGATAGACAAATTGAATTCATGATACGAGAGGGCAAACAGGAGTCTTCCTAGAAACAGCCTCATGCCTGAGACAAAAAAGGTACAAAGGCACGAAGAACCTAGCCCTACAATCGGGAGTACCGAGTTCTGGGCGAGAGACTTTTAGTTTTTGAATCCTTGAATCGTGAGATATCATCGTGTTTGATGACTGACTGTTTGCCCATCTCTTTTATATGCTTACTTAACAAGATATTTCTTACTTTCCTGCCTTTTTGTTCTGCTCAGAAAGACCCATGAAGTCCCGCATCTTTCCTGCAGGGGATTAATGAACACGATGGGAAAACGTAGGAGCGCCTCGTCTCTTGGTCCCGCCTAAATACATGTAAAGTAGGAGGAAAGCTACCGTACTTCTATTTTGAGTAATATACACCTGCCAGTCAAGTTGATCAGCAGTTACTTCTTGCCTCCCACCCAATGTACATATAAAATAAAATCCCCTCTTTTACCAAGAACTTCCATCTCCTCTTACACTAACGTACATATCACTTTCCGATAGAGATATATACATAGCAAAGCGTATAGTCGCATCAAACCTTATTGTCTGTCGTTAATTTTTCAAGTAAACAAAAACATCTACACAATCGTTTTCTCTCTCACTCAACCCATACTACAATACCTAGTACTCTTGGAACTCAACTTCGATATCTAGTGGACGAAAGTTTTGGTTACAACGATAATCAAATCATAACATACTGAATCAAAGGTCGAACAATGAAGTCGTTCGCTACTCTTAGTGCAGCAATTGCTGCTCTCGCTGGTATAAGCAGTGCTCAAGTTACCTAGTGAGTTACCCCTCCAACCTAGATCAATACTCTAGATCTCCTCTCCGTTCATCAGGTTCCACTGAATTAACATCACTACAGTAACTCGACTACCGGAACCTTCTCTTGCCCTGTTGCCAATGGTGCTTACTGCGCAAGTTCATCTCTCGGCGGTCCTATCATCATTCGATGTACAAACGGCATTGGTCAACCAGGGAACTGTGATGATAACCTTGCCGGATACTTCCCTTATGGTGTGAACTATTCACCATGTTGGGAGACTAGTGAGAAGAGTGGTGACGCCGCTTGTTCTAAGAAGTATGTTATCATATCTCATCCTCCCATCTCATATCATAGCTTCCATCTCCTCTCTCATCCACCATCCTTAATCCCTCTATCGTCTCATTCTACGTCTGACCTTTGACGTTGAATATCACACAACTAACGATTCACAGCTGTATCGTCCAAGGTGCCTCCGGCAACTTCAAAGGTACATTCACCCTACCCAACTGTACACCCATTCCAAACCCATCCGCCACCTCACCTCTTAATGGTTCGACAACTACAACATCAACTGGTACATCGACAATTATCGAAGGTTCAACAACACAACTCATAACTTACACCACAACCTTCTGTCCTACATCCACCCCAGTAGTCCTCTCATCTGTCACTTCACCCACAATCTCAACTGCTATCGTGATTCCTCCATTAATCACAGCCCCTACTGTCTCTACAACTCCTGTTATCGACCCATCATCAGGTATCACAACCATTATCTTTTCATCCGGTACTGCTGTCAGTACCGCTGTCAGTACCGCTGTCGGAACTGGTGGCTCGGGAGGAGGTTCGGGTGGTGGATCAGGCGGTGGATCAGGTGGCGGATCTGGCGCTGGCAGCTCAGGAGTCCACAATGGTACAACTGGTGGATTAGGTGCTGGCGGAAGCGCAACTGCTACACCCGTTGGACCAAGTAAAACTTCTACTGGAGTTGGTGCGCCTGAATATACGGGTGCTGCTAATATTCTCAGTGCAGGTGGTCTCGCAGCTGCGGGGGCTGTGCTTGTTTGGTTTCTTTAAGTGCTTTTACATTTGAGAAAATGGAGTGAAATGATGATGTGGAGGAGACTACGGATGAATATATGATACACTCCTTATTCTTGATGGTATTTATGAAGATGATGGAGGACTTTTTGGTGATTTCTTACACAGTTTTGGAGGATGGTTTTGGACGACATACATACACACCTACGACGGATACGCATGATATTTTATGACTTTATGAGTCGACGACTTTCCCTAATGATAATTTCTATGGATGACGGATTGATAATGGATGTTGAATTTTTGGCAGCAGGTTATACGAGAATGAGAAGATTTAGCTATTTCGATGGGTGATTTCGAATTCCAAGAGGAAATGGGAATGCGATTGGGTGGGAGAAGGAGTGTGAATGGATATGTGAGTGAGTATCGTTGAAAGAAGTGGGATGGAAAGTGGTCAAGGTTCAGGAGGCGGTATAGGTTAATAAATCAATGATATGATATTAAAATGAAAAGCGGATGAAATCTGTTTATGTAGTGCGAGTATCAGAATGGCACCTCCTGAGTTTTCTCTTTCTTGATGGGAATGTGTAACTTGTGATTTATCTCCTCGTTTCTCTGCTGGCGGGAATTGTTATGGCTGTTCCGTTTTACTCATCACCGTCGTCAAAACTGCGCACCTTCACCTCTCCATTTATCGTATACCACACACGCCATACACAAAATCACGTATCGAATCATTAAATACTTGAGCATTTGACCATTTATCTGCACACACACTTGCATCACCACCTCATCACGCAATAGTACCCAAGTTAAACCAATACCAAGAGTGAAGATAACAAGACACACCATAAGACCACAACACACACAACGATAACACAACAATGACGAAGACCATGTCACTCGCAGTACAAGACAATACAAAACAAAGATATGTTAAACCCCCCCTTAAGAGTTCTGTCAACCAATCATCTAACCATCCAACTATTCAATCATTCAACCAGCTACTTTACAATCTACATTTTTCATCCTCCATCCTCCATCTTCCATCTTCCACAAGTGACAAACCTACAAGTAAAAGGAGCACAACTTACAATCCAGCCAGCAGGCCAGACCACCCACCTATCTAATACGTATCCTCTATCCCCATCCATCTACCCACCAACCATCTACCACCGACCAACCCCCTCGCCTCACCTCATCTATCAAACTCCCCAACCACACCCACACCTATACCTATACCCATACCCACTCTACATCAAAATTAACATCAAAAATCAACATAAACATCAAAATCAAAATCATCATCACCATCATCACCATCAAACAAAAAAACAAAAAGTACAAAACATTAATGTACATAATTTATTCATCTTATTCATCTCAATGCTTGCTTGCTATTCATCAATTCCCTATCATTCAATTCAATTCCAATCCGTACCCGCTTGCTTCCATCCTTTTACTATGCATTGCATTCACCACGACCAGAATCTCCACGCAACCAAGCTCCTTCACGCAACCAAGCTCCTTCACGCAACCAAGCTCCTTCACGCAACCAAGCTCCTTCACGCAACCAAGCTCCTTCACGCAACCAAGCTCCTTCACGCAACCAAGCTCCTTCACGCAACCAAGCTCCTTCACGCAACCAAGCTCCTTCACGCAACCAAGCTCCTTCACGCAACCAAGCTCCTTCACGCAACCAAGCTCCTTCATGCAATCAAGCTTCCTTCCCACAAATCTGCCCCCCCCCCCCCCCCTCCTTCACCTCCCCCTGCCCCATCCAACCCATCTTTTCTTAATTTAAAAAACTCCCAAACTCCAAGTAAATAATTTCGTGAATGAAAGACGTCAAATTAAATTATAGTAGTGTTTATATGCGTATCAATGAATGCGCGGTCCGCCCACAAAAAGGATACTCCAGATTGTTCCAGCTTACAGCCCTGCTGCCACAAGAACGCCTGATTAACTTTCAGTATATCAAATGAAAGGTTTCGGCTAGAGTTATACGATTCGCATTATGCTTTTAAACGAATGAGGTATGTATAGTTGTTGCGCAGTGGGTATGCATCATGGAAAGACATGTGACAAGAAAAAAATAAGAAAAGAAAAATGCTCCGGCCGACCTCGCTGCTATGCAATAAAGGACAACTTCAAACGAAGGAAAGGAAGAAAGTGGCTGTAAAGTAATAAAAACTCGTCTATTCGTATAATCCGCTCCTTATGTACCCAATGAGTGGTATGAATGATTTTTTCATTCTCAACACTTTTCGCTTCATACATTACATATTCTATAATGCTCGCCGACTACTCATAGCTGCCGATGCCCCTGCTGATGCTAAATCCTGTTTCGAACTGACACTTCGTGTGACTCGGGGCAAGCCGCTACCACCAGAAATTGCCACGGTTCCAGTACTTGTACGTTTCGGCCCAGGAGGTCCCGTCAATGTTGTGGCATTGGATTGTCTTCGAGGTGGAAGAGCTTTACTTGGACTTGTCCCAGCTGCGGGTGGCCGAACAGATGAACCACTTTTGTAAGCAGGTGGTTCTGGAAGGGGTCTATTGGAAGAAGGCGCAGCGGTGGTATTGTGGCGCTTTATTGGCGAGTCGATTCGAGTATTGATACGGGATGGAGCAGGAGCCTTTTGACCAGTGATGAATTCATGCCTTACAGCTTCATCAGGCTTCAAACGCTTTTCAGGATCCCACCTGAGACAACGTGCCAAGAAGTCAAGAAAAACTTCATCATCGCACTTGATGGTTTGCTGAAGGGATCTCGAGGATGGTCGACGTCTGCGTCCTTTTGAAGATACCGTGAGGCGTGGCTTTCCGAGAGAATCAAAGAAAAGCTTTTTGCGAGTACTCTTCTCAATCAAATGCTTTTCCGGTGGACCGAACACTTCCATGATGCAGGCGAGTTGTTCCTGTTCGTTTTCACCAGGGAAGATGGGCACTCCAGTAAAAAGTTCCGCCAAGATGCATCCAAGACTCCACATATCTATCGGCATACCATATGTCATACCAAGGATAACTTCAGGCGATCGATAAAATCGGGATTGAATGTATGTATATACCTTCTCATTCTCGAAACAACTTGACCCAAAGTCAATTACCTTGATCTCCGAATGAAGAGGATGTGCGAGAAGAATATTTTCGGGTTTCAGATCACAATGAATGACCTTCTTCGATTTCAAAAGCAACAAACTGCTGAGCATTTGCTTTGTGAATCGTCGAACGATCTTAAGTGAGAAACCTCTAAAGGAATGGGCTTTGATGAGCTCATAGAGATTCATATCTAAAAGTTCAGTAGAGATACAAAGATGACCACGGAAGTAGAAGCTTTGAACAAAGTTGACCATGCTGTGCTTGTTTTTAGGATCCTATAATTGTTAGCTGGTTGCTGAGTGAAGTGATTGGAACTACATACCCATTCGCGCAACTTTTGGAGGATATTAACCTCTACTAAAGCTTGCTGATGGAATCTCTTCTTGTTCCGGATGATCTTAATAGCTACTAGCCCTCCAGTCTTGTGATCAATACATCTTACGACTTGACCAAAACTTCCCTTACCAAGAACATCGATAATCTCATAACGGTATGAGAGATGATCTCCAGTGGCAATTTGATAATCCCCTCTTTCATCATCATACCCGAAATTGGCGGCATCAGATTGAAGCTGACCCACATGCTTAGCTGCACTGGATGTCCCACAGAAGTAAATGTCCTTGTAATCAACAATTTCCCCCTTCTCGTAAATGTTGAGATGCGAGACTAGTTTGAGAGCCTGTTGAGGGTTCGCTCGATCCTTAGGAGTAGCCCGTTTTCTTAGAGCATCCAATTGACGAGCTGCCGTCTCTGTTTCCTTTCGTTTGTTGCCGAGCTTCTTCATCTCCTCTTCCGCCAAAAGATCATCCTTGTCCAATTCCGCTGTCCAGTGATCCTGATGTCTGATACTAGTACTAGAAGCCTTTGGATTTAGCATTCTATGCATAACAGAAGATGTAGTTCGAGAGGTCGCGGTTGGAATATTCCTCTCAGAAGCCATAGAGTCAGTTGATGTCTCTTTCTTTGGACTGTTTCGATTCAAACCCCAGCTATCACTCTTTGTTCTGTCGTGACCTGTGATCATATTAAGGCTGGAGACTGAGCTCTTCCTTCGGCTGGAATTGAGATAAGTAGTAGTAGTGGTTGATTTGACCGACGGACTAGGACTAGGAATTTCCTTGCTATTGCTACTCATATTGTTCATGGTAGCAGAAGCAGGCAACCTAGGTGGTGGCATGTTATCATGTTTTGGTGGAGGAGGTGGTTGGTTGGCTTCTCTTCCGCCTGTTGCTTGAGCATTGCTGGCGGTGTTCTTTGATCCAGATCGCTTCCAACCAAGGCTCAACTTTCTTCGCAACGAAGTTGTTGACGATGGTGTTGGGGGTTCTTCCGGACTTGAAACTTCCGCGGGAGTATCTGTTTTAGCTAATCTATTCACCTTCAAGGCACGTGGCCCAGTCAACCTTGCCGACTTGTTTTCAGTCGTGGAAGTGTCCATTGTAGTGAAATCACCACTAGTTTTGGACCGAGGCATGAGATGCTGGCCCGCGCTATTCTTGGGAAGAGATGAGGATAGATATGGGGAGGTTTCCCTAGGCGGCGGTGGTCGATTATTAGCTATAGGTATGGGCTTTGTCCCACTGTTACTTCCAAATACTTGCGAAGATTCCGCAGGTCTATGATGGATAGAACTATTGCTCCGCATTTTAGGCATATGATGCGATTTATCTTCGTTACGACGGGAAAAGAACGAGGTCTTGGAAGCTGTCATGGGTGAACTTGGGGTCTTTGTATTTGTCCTCTTAGGCGGAGGTGTAATAGCACCATTTGGTAAGGGCTCAGGATTGGATATGGCGGCAGCTTTTGCAGCCGTAGGAGCACTTAATGGTAACAGATTCAAAGGTGGCAGACGAAGGGGTTGAAGGTTCTTTTTCTTCGGAGTCGTGGTATTTTGCTTTTGCTGTTCAAGATCTGAATTCGAGCTAGGTGGCGCA